ATTGTAATTGAAGAGTTAGTCAACGAAAATATAGATTTTATAATCACGCAAATCCGAAACGGCTGCGCAGCTAATTCCAATCATCTGTGTATCCATTGCGCATCCATTACTAAAAGAATGAAAATCTGCGTTGTAGTCGACTGCGCAATCGTGTTAAAAGAACGAATTACTGCAAGAACTGCTATAGCCGATGCCTAAAAGAACGCACCCATTAAGTTTTCCGCAGACAGATTTTTAATAAACAAATAACTTTTTGTAAAAACCAATGAACATTTCAGGCTTGTTCAGGACTAGTTTTGTTCGTCATTATGAGGGACATATTTTATGAGAATTTCAAAGCTTGGCGTTTAAATCTTAATGAACAGAGAGCCTTGAAAAAAAAGCCTTTTTCGGTGTTTATTTTTTTTCTACTGAATTAATAAATCGATTTTAATGTTCCACGTCTCATTTTGTAAGTATTAGGTTGATGCATATGAAATGTTTTTAAGTGAATATATAAAACTGCATATCTTTTTTCAAAAACTGTTTATTTAATCAAAATATGCTCCATTTGTTTCAATACACTTTTCTCAACGAGATTTTAATGCATAAATGCCTGTCTTAAAGAAATTCTGATCTTTAGAATCAATAAACTCTGATATGGAATTTTTCAGTCTTCATTTTCTGTTTTCATTTTCATACTGTTTAGCCCGTAAAAACTGTTCTAAATGTTTAAAAAAATGAAAGTTGATGAAAGATCCGGTGAATAAGTTTAATTTCGCAATTGTTTTGTACGAAGTATGCGGCCGAGCGTTGTCGTGGAGAAGTATTGGGCCATGCCGATGAACAAGTGATGGACGTATAATTTTCAATTTTTCATACATTTCATCAATGTACTGGCAGTACTTTTCGGCTGTAATTGTCTCCCCAGTTCGAAGGAATGAATTACTGCAGTCACATTCCACCAAACTGTTATTAAAATTTTCCGTGGATGAAGTGATGGCCTTGGAGTATGAGCACAAGCCTCATTCCTATCAAGCCACCGAGCACAGATCATTGTATAGTCAACTTTCATTCTGGTAGCAAGTTCCCTTGTAGATACAGTTGGATTCGTTTCCATCAATGTTTTCAGAGCATCATTTTCACAGGCGTTTGGATCTTCCACGCGGTTCATTTTGTAAGGAAAAATCACCAGACCGAAATTTTTCAAACCAATGCTGCACTTTTCGATCGTTAACAGTATTCTCCCCAAATGCCTGGTTTATATTGCGTGCAACTTTTGCAGCATTATTACCAAGTTTATACTCATATAAAAAAATTACATGAATATCGATTGAATTCATATCCTTACTAAATTCAAAACAAATAACAAAATGGAACACTTTTGAGAAAATCTTTTTTGTTGAAATGTGACTCTGGCAATGGACAATATGACTATAAACGAGGTTATGCCAAAAACAAAAGCATAACGAAAACAGGGAGACAAACGTTCATATGTAAAGAAAATCTGACATTTCATATGCACTAACCTAATATTTTTACGTTTTTTATACCGAATTTTTTTCCATACAATCAATATCTTTCGTTTTATAAGCGAAAAACGTGCTTTTTGCAATTATTTGATTTTTTTTCGCATATTTTTTCACAAGTCTCGCAAACATACCTGTATGCATTTCTTTTCTAATGGTTTTTCGAGACTTTCGTGAAGACAAATACTAGTTTATAATTTTTTTCCGATAAAATTCTATTTCTACTGAACTATTGTGCTACTCGAGTTTATGAAAGAAAGGTATAACACATGAAAAATCATAAACAATTAAATATCTCGTAAACTGTTGCGTTTTAACATGATTTATACTATTAATGGAAGAGATAGGGGAAAGTGGGCACTGAGAGTGAATTGTGCGCACCTAAGGGAAATTTATTGTCCTGGAATGATTTTTCAAGTTCAAAGCGATATAAGTATGGAAATAGAAACTATAATTCTTCTATCATTACGTATCTTCATATCGAACAGATTTTCATTCAATAAAGTATTTGATAAAAAGGAAGAAACGGAAAAGTGAAAAAATTTCTTGTGTGTCTAGTAATTATACGCATGGGTTGAATTGTGCGCAAAGTTAAAGTCATAGGAAATTAATGAATTATGGAATGTTGACAAAGAAATTAGAAAATATATTTATTATTAGGTGTTGGAATTAATTCATAGCGTTTTTTAATGAAAGAATGTTATTTATTTCACATGAGCATTAAAAAATACATTAATGAAAGTACTTCCCATCACTTGTAAAACGCTACGAATTAATTCCAACACCTAATATATTGCAATATAAATATATAATATATTAAATATATTTTAATACATTACATATAATATTATATTAGGTGCGCAACTAAATTCTCGCTGTTATTTTGATGAAAATGCGCACCTAATATATTACATATAATAAGCAAAAATACAAAACTAATATAATAATAATACACATAGACTTTGGCAAAATAAAATGGCAAAATAAAATAATAATACAAAGAAAAAACGAAAAAATTAGTGCTAGTCATATACAATAATATATAGAAGATGGGTAATTATGCACACTTCAAAACGCTTGCGCACAGTTGTCCGCCGCAACCTGACTCAATTTTAAATACGATTACTTTAACATTTCTTAATCAAACTTAATAAATAACATCAAAAGTCATACATAATAACATACTTTAATAACGTATGCAACTTTAATCAAACAAATTAAAAATACCAAACCTTAGTTTCTGACTGCTAAAATAACAAGAAAAGATGTGATTTCACTTTTTTGTATTTCTCTGATTAGCAACGTCTTTATGTTGTATCTTTTGTAGTTATGTCTTAAGAGGACGACCTAAAATTTTATCACAGTGATGTCTTCATCTATTGGAAAAATACCAAACCAGGATGCGCATAATTATTCGCTGCGCACAGTTCCCTCACTTTCCCCACTATTACTACAATTTATTATTAATTTATATGTTATTTAGAATGTCCCTCTCCCCTTATTGATGCCTAAGGTAGCCGAGCAGAAAGCATTTTCGATCGCTCGAAACAAGTGATTAGTGTGAAAAGGAGCTCGCTGTCTCGTTCACTCTCGCGCCGCAGGCGAGCACACGGATATGAGCTCGTGTAAGTATGGCTACCGATTTCGCCAGTCCGTCTGATTCTGTGTCACCACGCAGAGTTCTTGGTTGAGTAGTCAGGAGCCTTAAAAACTGAAAATAATTTTAGCATGCAGTTGTAAGACTGAATATATACATAAAATAACATCGAAACATTATTTAAGCGTAAGATGCTATATATATTAATAAGATATTTTCGTTACTGGATTAATTGTAAATTCAAACTGCACTAATACAAAAATAATAAATATTAATAAGTATTTTAATATTATAATATTTCAGGAGTGTTAAAAGAAATATACCGAGGATATTTATGTAAGTGAACATATAACATGAGCGCAAGTGTGGTGTACCTGGCAGCGTACGAGACTGCTATGCCAGAGATACCAGATAGAATCGATCCCAGGCAGAATCGAAAAATTTTCGTTACAGTCATAAGAGTCATGACACGAGGGGCCAACTCGTGATTGGTCAGATTTCCTTTAAACGCCGCCATTTGTGGGTATTTTCGATGAGTAGTGAATCTGTGAATTGTGAGCAACTGTTTCATGGTGTAGTAGTACAAAAAGGCGGGAATACGAAATTGGACTATCAATTGTCAACTGTGGTGAAATTATAAACAGTATTTGTTCTTACATAGAATATGGACATGGAAAGTGCCTTCTAAGAGAAAATTGCAGGAAAGTGTTGTTTTGTATTGTCTTTATTCCTCTAGATAGTATTCATTAAATATATTTTTAATACATTACAATTAACCGTTTTTATTGATAGAAAGTAATTATATAATCTGTAAATTTTACTTTTAATTTAAAGAGAATATATATGATAAATTTAAATGCGAAGGTATATTATGTAATTTAAAAATCTATTAATAATTAAATTATTAACAAATTTTCAAAACTTTAAAAATAAAATCTTAAGATTTTCATTTAGAAATTAATTTTTAATTAAAATGTAAATTTGTATTGTAATTTTGTATTGTTTGCAAATATTGCGTAATTTACTCCTGTTTTATATTTTTCATAATCGACAAGTACCATCGACTGTCATCATGGGGTATGTGAAATCAACACAAGGGATCAAGATATCAGTGTTTCCTAAAGATCCAAACAGAAGAATGCAATGGATTGCGGCAGTTCAAGCACTGGATAAACCAAATTGGAATCTGACAAAAGATTCAGTGTTATGTGAGGTATGTTTTATTGTTTAAATATATTTTATATAAGACATTATATATATATTTATATATATATATTAGGTGTTGGAATTAATTCGTAGTGTTTTACAAGTGATGGGAAGTACTTTAACAAAGTTCTAAAATAATTTAATAATAATTAAATTAATTAAAGTAATTTTATAGTAATGTCTAAAAAGAAAAATTAGTACAAGAGCATCACTATAAACGCGAACAAGTTAAGAATATTCATTGTATTTATTTTGAATGAATGAATGATTTGACGAAGGTTCAATAAATAAATTAACAACAGTTTGACTGGTAAAAGTTTAAAAGCAAAGGGTATAATTTAAAATATAAATGTTGAAACTCTCTACTATGATAGAAATATAAACATTGGAAATATGGAATATTATTATTATATAAGATTCACATAAAATTACAGACTTGATTTTTAAAATGTGACTTATAATTAAAGGGAACATGTAATCCACAAAAAATTTCATCAGTTCAGTCCTAAATTTATCAAACCTTATTTCATTCTTTTTGAATAGAATTACTGTATTCAGTAGAAACTTACAGATATGAATTATAGAACTTGTAATAATTATTTTTTACTTTCAGAAACACTTCAGACATGTGAGAAAAGATACATGTCGATAGAACTAAAAAGTTAAAAAGAAATGCGATATCGACTCTCTTTGGACCCATTCAAAGGACTGGACAGCAGAATGTTGTTCTCCAAAACCAGAGTATGCTTGAGTATGTACGTATAATGCAATCCAAAATAAAATGCATTTTAAAAGTATAGATATCTAGCTTATTGTTATTTTAAAATACTGTTTGTGTAATTTTATGCTGAACACACTAATAGACATTCATATACATATCGATAATTTGTATCTCAATGTCTACATAAAAACAAAAATCATAAAAAATAGTAAATAAATTAATTTTTTATCATGAATTATTTATCAAATATGAATGTAATTGTTTGTATGTATTTTATTATATTACAGTTCATGTTGAAGTTCTTATTTGAAGGACTAAAGCAAATCTTGTTCTCCGAAGCCAGGATATGCATATCAATATGTACAACACAATTCAAAGTAAAATGAATTGCATAAAAAGCACAGATGTGGTTATTATTTTAGTGCTGTTAGTTACTTAAGAAATGAATAAATTGTGTTTTTTTCTTACTCTGACGCCAAAAGTTCTTCCCGTTGGAATTTTCATCCGCTCAACATGAAATTTTAACCAGTGCTTCTGGACTATCAAATGAAGAAATTAACATGGGGGTTTTCAAAATTCAAATTTTAAGTAAAAAAAAATAAATTTTATTATAGAAAAAAATCTTTGTATAAAAAAATTTAATAATCATTTTTTATAATGAAATTTGGACTTAAAATTTGAATTTTGAAAAACTTCTATGTTAATTTCTTTATTTCCAGAAACATTAAATTTCATGCCCGATGAAAATTGCATCGGGAGGAACTTTTGGTATCGGAGTAAGAAAAAAACCACAATTTATTCATTTCTTAAGTAACTAACAACACTAAAATTACTTTGATTGCACTGAAAATCACATTTTAGACTACTTATTATGTTAATAACAATATCAAATTTATATATAAAATATATATTTTGAAGTATTAAGTATTCCGATGCAAATGTGCGATTTTGAATGCAAACCCGGTTGTCGGACTTCATTGTATTATTCGTTCGTAGATAACAACATTAACCAGTCCCGATATAATGCCATCATCTTCATGACGAGGTAATATCGACGAGAATCATGAGCAAAACTCTCAAAATTATTCGGTCACATCGACAATAATTATGGACAATTTTTCCGACATGACAACTGATGAACAAGACTCATCTACACAGATTATGACGAATTCTACAATTGCTACGCATGAAGAAAAGATGAAGGAAATGGAAGAGCAACTGCGAAATATGACAAACTATAAAAGTGCAACAGAAGAAATTAAGAGGCTGACAACTAGTGAAAAAGCTGAGAAGTTATACATGATAAGAGAGAAATCAAAGACACGGATGAAGGCAGAACACACAGCAATAAGAAAAAGATAGCATAAGAAACTCGCAAAAATGAAGGTATTATTAGATAGTTTCAGAAATAGAGACGCGCTAAAAGAAATATTATGTCAAGATCAAATTCAATTATTAAGATCTGGTAAAAGTAGAGTACGCGAGTGATCTGACGAAATGTTAACCAAATCTTATAAAATGAAATTTGCATGTGGGAGTTCGGGCTATACTCATTTGATTAGAGAAGGTTGGCCGTTCCCATCCGAAAGAACTTTGAGTAGGAAATTAGAGTCCTGGAAATTTAACAGCGGAATATTGGATGAGATTTTTAATTTTTTGCGTATTAAGTCTTCACAATTTGAGACCGATGTACATCGAGATTGTATTATTTTATTCTTGACGAAATGAACATAGTCTCCGGCGAGAAGTTCGATCCGTCAGTTAATGGGATTATTGGATATTCGACGTTACCAAATCATTCGGATGTTGCCACGCATGGTTTGGTATTTATGATCGCAAGGATTGCTCACCGTTAGAAGCAAATCGTTGCATACGTTTCATTCTAAATCAAGTAGACGATTCGTGTTTTATGTCTATTATAGTACAAATTATCAAAAAGGCTGAAGAAATCAGTTTACATGTGTATGGGGTTGTTTCAGATATGAGTTTGGCTAATCGAACAATGTGGAAAGGTTTCGGTATAAATGCTAGTAGATTTTCGGTGAACAATTCTTGCGAACATCCGTGCGATCCAACAAGAAAGCTTTTCTTCTTCCACGATTCTCCACATGCCTTAAAAAAATTTAAGGAAGATTTTTCGAACAACGAATTTCTTGTAATTCCTGAATCTTTTGTTGCGAAGTATGAATTGCCGTGTAATAAAGTATCCGTGGAGCATATTTTTAAATTAATTTCAGAGCAAGACACTTTCCTACTTAAACCAGCACCAAAATTGAAAGAAGAATTGTTGAAGAAAGAACGTTTCTTAAAAATGCAAATGAACAATGCAACGAGTGTACTTAATAACGATGCGTTCCGCGAGTTCCGCGTTAACTTCGTTAATCGACGAACCCAATAAACCAGAGCTTAAGGGGATGCTGGAGTGTCCTGTTTTATCATTAAATTTTAAAAGCACCTTTCTCATAACTGTGTTTATGGACTGAAAAATCCTTCTCCACAATTAAAGTATCGACAACAACGCAAATCGCCAGCTACATTTGAATACGAAAAACGAAAGAAAATTAAAGACTTACAGTTTTGTTATCGGCTTTTGTAGTCAACACATCAATATGTGTTGCAATAAGAGTTTCAGATCTTGCACGTTCATGAAAAGTAGCTGGCAAATTGCGGAAAACTTAAACGAACAATCCCATGCTTTTAGAAACGCGGTAGGAGTTTTAGTTTAAGAGAAAGGTGCATTCGAAAATTTCATTTGTATATTACGAATGAAATTAACGTGAAGCCATGAAACTGAGCAGTATTTTAGTTCCGCGATATTCCGACAGCGGCGCTGTCATGAAAAGTGCGTCGCTGAAATATAGAAATGATCTGAATTATCGACCTACTCAGGCCCATATCAATTAAAACGTGCCCTGCTCAAAGTTTTTTCTTTTGAGAGGAAAAATAATAATAAAATAAATATGATATTAGTTATTTCAATTTTGTTGAAATAATTTCTTCCTAAACAAGAAACATACCATATTATTTACATACAAATGAATACAAATGAAGATAATTATTTTAATTATACTGTTCTGTCTTTTACATACATTTTATTTAGTAAATTATTGATGCATATATATAAAATAACATATACATATATATATATATGTATGTATATGTATGTATGT